TATATCTATACTATAATGTATGTTTGAATTTGTGCACACCGTGAACTCTTTGACTAGTTCCTGCTGGTCAAGTTGGTGCTGCAGAATCTTTATGAGAGCTTTAACTCTGGAGCCCGAGTACTGGCTGGTCTTGGCAGGAGTAATAAGTGCTAGACGGGCCAGTTCCTCTTCTGATACCAAAGGTGGACCTATGGAATCAGAACAGCAGTTACCTATGTTTGCCCTGTAGAGACAAAGCATGCACTCCAAGTGGAAACTGTAGTAATGACGGTTTTACAGACCTGTTTGTGGCGAGGAAACTTCCTGTATAGCTGTATCAAACACATTATCATCCTCGTCGCTGCTCCAGCCATCTGACTGGGTTTTCCGAATATCCTTGCAAGACTGGTCCAATAATTTTGTGACAATTTGTGTCCTAGTGGAATAGAAGTTAGAACTTATTTTTCTACAAAGTGGGCTGAAGTGAAGTCTAAGCTTTTTTTTTTTTCTTTTTTTAAAAGAACTACTGATCACATCTACAGTATAACACTAAAGTTGAATGTGTTATTATTTACAGAGCTTTAAAGTGTTTTTGGAGGAATATTACTGTACGGTAATAAGAACATGGCTTGTTTATAAAACTCACTTCCTTTACTGAACAATTGGAACTTTAAATTGCTTAAACATACTGGATTCACAAGTGCATATATTTTGTATACCAGGAACAGTTAATGGATGACTTGATTTTTCATCAACTGTATTCGCACATTTTAAAACTTATGAACAAATGGAATTTTATCAAATATCTTACTATTTCTTGAACCTTTTAACAAATCTTACTTTGGGACATTGGGTTTCAGAGCTTACCTTAGACTTTCACTATTGATTTAACCTGTGAGGCACTTTGGTCACTTTATGAGTATGTAATGCTGCTATATAAATAAATACTTATTGATTGATCTAAAATCTTTAATATATAATTTAGATTCTCTGACATAATAACATGTTTCCAGTGGTTCTAATTCTTTCCAACCTTGTTTGTGGCAAATTTGTCAGTTTGTGAAGATGACTGGGTCTGGATGGGTTTACAGTTTTACTATACCTTATATTTGGATAATAGATAAAAAAAAAAAAAATCACTTTAGAGCTGATCAGAGATTCTTTGTAGCCTAGCTTTCCTCCAACCTGCTATGCAACCTGGCCTTTCTGTTTGTCCACTGATGTCCCCAAAGTCTTTATAAACAACCTCATTCATAATTAAATAGGGTTATGAAAAGACTAGCTCCATCAACCATTGAATAAGTAAAGAAAAAAAAAATCTTAAATTTATTTAGGCATTTTAGAGTAAATGGGGATTAAAAAAACATGCGCCAAAATAATGATAAAAAAGATGCTGGAATTTGAGGATCTAAGGCTCCTAAGTACTTTTCTTTAATTAGTATTTTTTAAAGCACTCTAAATATAATAATCATTGATTATTTGCCTAAAATCCAGTCACAACACATTAACATTAGCTCTGCAGATTTCTATCCCAATTCAGATAATTTTTGTAAACGAAAGTAAGCAAACAACCCCCAGAGGTTAGTTTTTATTTGCCCTTCCTGCAGACTCCGGTTACTTAAATCCCCATGACTGGATTTAATTGATAGTATTTCTGTACATATATTTGAATTACTTCTCTTAAAACGTACTTTGAAATCGCCTGCTTTATCTTAAGGCTTTGTAAATTAGCAGAATTGACTAAGAGTTTATTTACATTTGTTTTAGTTAATTTCACATTTTACTTAAACTCGGTGATAAAAAAAAAATCTACTGCTCTCTGCTACCATCATGTGGTTAGAAGTGGAACTCCAGCAAAACGAGCAAAATTTGGAAGCAGAAAAAGGGGGAGAAAAGGACAACAGAGACTAAATATAGTGACAACACAACAGAAGACAACTCAAAACCATTGATACCTGTCAGATGCTCCATGCAACATTTCAGTGACATTGAGGGATGGGCAGCAAGCTTGATGAGAAGGGGTGTTGTTACAACTCTCCTGTCCCACAAACAAGGAGTAGGAGGCAACAGACAGGAGGAGGAAGATGTTAGTGGATGTTAGTAAAGAAATGTGGAGCATGATCTATTTTTAACAGACAGTAATGTTAAATTATGTCTTTAGGATTAGGGTGTTTGTGTTGTTATTATTGTTACCTCCTCAACTGAAGTCTCTTTCTTCGTGATGGTAACTCTGTGAGGTGTGGGAGGCGGTGATGTGAGGATAACTTCAGCTTCATTAGCCACAGGGTCTAAGGATGTTTTTAAAATGTTTTCATTTTTTTATCTCTCAATGTTATTCAGGATAAATCTTTATGAGGTACACTACATTTACACTTATCTTATTTATTCAAACTGTTGATAAAAAGAAAGAGATGATTGATATCATACCAGCAGGGTGCTCAGCCTGCCCCTCCTGCAAGCCTTCAGGAGCTGAGCAGATATCAGAGCTGGACACATGAGCCGGCTGCTCTGCTAAAATGGCCTCAGTGTGGGCAGACATGTTTGGCGGTGTAGGAGACTCAGAGTAGGTTAGGGGTAGGATGTCTCTGCAGATGGTGAGCTGCACTGTACCTTCAGCTTTCCTCAGAATATCGACCACCTTACTGTGGCTCAGCCCAGACACAATCACACCGTTTACCTGGCAGTTAAAGAGTGAAAGTCAAAGGAAAAGTAGGAGGAAACAGAACGGTGGTGTTGCAAGTGGTTCTTTACCTCTAAAAGAATGTCTCCGACTTTCAGACGGCCATCCTGCTCGGCTACTCCACCAGAGCAGATATCTCTCACTCTGAGCATGCTGCCATTAGTTCCCCCCACCAAAGCGAAGCCCAGGCCTCCCCCCTCTGGTTTCTTAAACTCCACTTGCATGATACAACTCTGAAGGGAGGAAATGATTGAATTTAAGAGGATCATGTTATATGTATTTACATACCTATTTACATAATTTGTGTATATCAGTATTTACACATTTTGAGCACAAGAAACGTGAATGCAAAAAAGTTATAGATGATTTTCAAAACTGCATTTTAAAATGTTTGCCAGCTGGAGATCCTAATTGAAACCGCTTTTAGAAGTGGTCTGCTTTCTGTGATTATATCAAAAATAAGACTTCTACTTGCATTTTCTTTGGCCAGTTGTTATAAACTGTTTATTTTCGTAATCATTGAATCGATTGATTCCACTTAGATACTATGTTTTTTCACTTAGAATCTTAAATCCCACTCAAATCTTTCTTCATTTCACGACTGCTTTGCTTCATGCATCAAAAGCAGCTATAAAAAAAATAAAAATGAAATGAGTTAAAGTGAAGAGACCAATATTATTCTCCTTTACACCTTCAGAGGTAACAATAAACTTGTGATTTTTTTTCCTGCATTTTTTTTTACTTAGTTATTTATATGGAAACATGTAAAATGTTTAATTCAGCAAATAGCTTCCAGAAAAAATCCTATCAGACTGTAGCTTTAAATTGCAGTCAGATATTATTAAAAACAAGGGGCGCTTTAGATGATCCATTGTCCTTTATAAAACACCCTACTTATTACATTTGAAGTAACGTAGACACTGAACCATCCTTAACCCCCATACTGGGTGAGTGTAAGGCTTAACAAATGTTGCGTTCTACATTACTGGACCTTAATGCTACAGAACACTAAGCTGGTACATGACAATGATTTTGGTAACTTTAATAAATTATTGTATTAAAATGATGTCTGTTCTTTAATGAATCAAATAAATGATCTCCAGAAACTCTGGTCACAAAATGACTTACATTTAACTGTGTGTAAAGGACATTTCAAATAAATTAGCAGGGAAAAATATACAAAGGGCACAACAAGAAAAAATAACAACTGAACAAAACCAATTATTCTGAAACTTACATCTTGTCCTTGGGTAAGAGAACGACATCTCCTCTCTGTAGTCCTGCGTACACTTTCAGCTAAAAACAAAGGAATAAAGATGCTCTAAATATAAAACAACCCAAAACAACAACGAAAAAATGTGTTAATGCTATAATTCAATGATAATACTACTATGACCATAATCACAAGATACTATTTATCAAGAAGGTAAAAGGTCTGAGGATCCAGTATCGTTTCTATCATATAAGCTGAACCCTCATCCTCTTCTCAATTATGAAACCCCTAAAAAAAACAACAACAAAAAAAACAACAACAACAAAACACCGACCTCCAACCTCTTTGGCCATTTTCAAAAAGAAGTGTTGATGGATGCGTCTCCTCTGTGACAGATGAGCAAGGCTGATCTTTTCAGACCAACTCTCCACAGTGTCCTTTATTGGTCTATGTTCTGTCACCAGGGGAACTGAGAGATCTGTCCAGTAAACCACTGCCTGTATGGGTCCTAAAGTGAGTGTATCTGTATCTCTATGTGATGCCACTGGCTTTGCAGTCCAGTACTCTAGTGGAGGGCTTGCTAATTATTAATTCCACTGTGTGAGCCCAGGATCTGTCTGTCAGCGTTCAGAGCTCACACACACAAAGCAGCAGAGAGAGGTATCTGTTAGCACCGAGCTCGGCCTCACACTGACAGTGGGACAATAAGCTGTAGCCTGACAGGGAATTGTAGTATAAAGACAGAAGGTTCATGGAGAGTTTGGGCTAAATGGAGGAATAAATGAGGGAAATGAAGAGAATAACTCACTGTCATCAACAATAAACTCCCTCTCAGGAGAGAGAGTCTCCTCAAATCGGGCAAAGGACTTCTTATCCTTCTTCCAGTCAAACAGGCCTGTTAATGAAAAGATCCTTTTCACCATACAAAACGTATCACCTTTGCATAGAAAAACGGGGCGCAACATGTACAGACAGGCCATCATTTTGCTTTAAGGAACACTTATCTGGTAATGATTGAACCTGAATAATCACCACCTAGCTCAGCTCAAACATATCTTGTTTCTAAGCAGTTCTTTGGTGCATATGATGCAACGCACCAAACAGTCCCCTTATTCACCTTAAGCTATTCAACTCACCGTTCCACTTAGCTTTGGAGGTAACTGGCTGGTCTTCACTGTGACAGAAACAACAAATCCATACATAAATATAAAGATAAAATAAGAACTTCCATCAGAAAGCATCTCTGCTTTCAGCCTAAGACACACACATACCGGATGATTTTGAGTTTGACCTTACGAGGGGCAATCTCACAAGCTTTGACTGCATCCTCTAAAGTCATTCCCAGGGTGCACCTGCCACAGATGTACAGGATCTTGTCATTTGGCTTGACACTGCCCTCCTCACTGGCTGGGGAGCCTGGCACCACCTCCAGGCAATAAATGCCCTGCCATTTGCTGCCAATGCCACCCGTCAGCTTTATTCCTGGGAAGGACACCATCACACGGACATTTTAACACAAGTAACTGATTTAACTAAATAGTCTAAGAAAACAGCATTTAATGCAGAGGCTCCCACCCAACTGTCCCGATGGCGTCTTGTGCAGAACAATGTCAGGCAGGCTGTCGCAGGGAGGTGGAGCCACCAGGTTGCTGACTGCTCTACCCAGGGTCATATTCAGCCTTCTAGGAGATGACCTGAGTATCGTCATGGCAACATCATCTGCCACACTGGTGACATTGTGCCCGTTGACCTGAAGAAAATGATAGAAAAGTAATAACCAAATGTCTTTTCTAAAAGGAGTGTTTAAATGTTCAGGGGGCTGTTTTGGTGTGCACCGTGATGAGCCTGTCCCCGGCCCTGAGTCGTCCATCTGCCTTGGCGGGGTTGTCCAATATTTCCTGTATGTAGTAGCAATTATCAATTTTGCTACGAGTGATGGTGAACCCAAAGCTGCCACTCCTCGACTTGGTCAGAACCACTGTGAGCTCAAACTCTTTAATCATACCCTGCAGGGTAGAGGAAATGTGAATATAACCCTTTTTGAGAACTACAGCAATTTTTACAATGACAGTTAACATCCAAATGTTACATGTACTAAGTGTTCAGTTTAACATATACACCTATTTAATTGATTGTTGAAGCTAATGAGTGAATAAACCCATCACTGTTTAGCAACTCAATGCATACACGCCTCAGGCTGTGATAACAATAAGATGATAAAGTTCAAAATGAGCATCAGAAGGGGAATAAAAATAAAGGAGGGGATTTGAATTATGGCATGGTGATTGGCGTAAAACACTTGATCTGAGCATTTCAGAAAAAAAAACAAACACTCAACTGTTCTTGAGGTTTACATGGAATACCAAAACAGTGAAGATATCCAGTGAAAGGCAGTTTTGTAAAAGCAAAGGCTTTTTATTAAACTAGGGGGGCAAAGGAGAATGGACTGGGTCAAGATAACAAAAAAAGCACCAGAAAATCAAAGACCCACTTGAAGCAGAAAATCACATTTGATGCTACTCCTCTGCTAGAAATACAAATTCACACAGCCTCAGGAATACTGCAACAGATAAACTGGAAACAACATAAAAGCAACGATACGTCGTGCCTTCTTTCAACTGTTCAGACCTGTGGTGTTATCATGTCACGTAGTTTAAATCATCTTAAGCTAGTTTCCTGAATACACCAATGATTAGTTTACTATAATCCAATGGTCACCAGAATAACCAGATCTCAATCCAAGAACTTCTAGCAAGCGGTTTTGGTGCACAGTCGTCAATTCGTACAACAGCTTGATAGTAATATAACAAGGATTCAATACGGTTTAGATTCGTAGAGAAATGTTTTCCATCACTTTGTTGAATCCATGTCATCAAAAATTTATATTGCTCTAAAGGTAACAGGTGGCTCTAAATCATACTAGCAGGCTGCATCTCAGAAAGGTGCAGATAAGTCTATAAGAGTTAAAATATACTAGATTACTACAAAGAAAACATATAGATGGTGGAGACTTTATTGCCAAATCTACACTAAAAAAATGTAATCTAAATAAGTCAGTTTTTCTTAAAATAAAAGAATTTATTCTTGAATTGAAGAGGTGAGACACTTTGCCAATGGAACAAGACAATTTACATTTAAAATAAGGAAGAAAAATTGCATAGTCTTATTTCAAGTGTATATTATCTAATTATCTTATTTTAAGATCAAAAATACCAATTCCATTGGCAAATCATCTTATTTACCAACTCAAATTAAGGGTAAATACACTATTTCTAGATCATTTTTGCAGTGTTGTTTATGCACTCCGGTGTCCATATAAATAATAAACCTTTAACCAAACATCGATTCAGAAAGCTATCCTTTTAAACTACTGTGCATTTTGCATGCAAAACATACTCCTTTAACTTGAAAATCAAACCTAATTTATATCATTGTTTCTTTCAAGGTGGATCATTATTTGTTTTTCTTTTGCATAAAAGTCAAATTATTTTATTAAAGTTTTAAAACTTGTCACATATGGCAGACAGACACACTTAATCAATTTCTCTTTAAAAACATAAAAAAAAAAAATAGAGGTTAACGTTTTCTTACCTTCCTCCGACTTTCTTCCTCTTCTTCATCCAGTTCTTCATCAAAATCATCCCTGTATTCCCTTACTTTCCTCTCTGGTTCTTCTCTCAGCTGCAACTGAATCTGGCCAGAACAGGGCAACACAGTGGAAGGCATTGTTGGAGTGGGCACTCCAGTGCAGGGAGGCACTGAGGAGATAATTTGGGCTGTGATTGGCGTTATGGGAGGAGGCTGCGGTGGTGGCACCGTAGGGTGAACGTTCCTAGATGTTCCTTTAAAGTGACTTCGAAGATGCCCTTGTTGGATTGGGTGATGCTTTGTTTTCGGGGGTTGTGTGGTGAGTGGTGGAGATGGATAGGAGAGTGAGCAAGAGGCTGGTAGATCAGATGAGAGGTTGAGAGGGGTGATGTTAGGGGTGATGGGGACATGAGAGGTGGGCTTTAGAACCTCAAGGCTGCTTTGAGTTCGGGATTCGAGGGCTTCGATGTCAGTGTTTGGTGTGCTGTTGGAGGTAGGGCTACGAGGAGGCTCTAGGGTAGAGCTGATGGTCAGGTATTCTTCATCGGCCATGATGGTCAGTCCATTTCCCATAAGGCAGTAGGTGACACTCCCATCTATCTCTTGTCTGACACCACTGCAATTTCACAAACGCAAAAGTGTCAAAAATAATTCATGCATTTCGTTTTTCGATACAGAAAATGTTAGGGGAAAAAAAGCATTTTTACACAGATAAACCATTTCCCACGTGCATCATAGCTATATGTATATGATACTATAATACTTCAATTGGATTTAGACATCACCAAACAGAAAACTTGACATGACATTTTACAGGGCTATATAAAAAAAATGTTCCCACCCACTATTTTTGTAACAAATATCAAAAACAAATACTGGCATTTCTTTGTTTAACCCCCTGCAGTTTGACAACCCAAAATAAAACTGGTTTAAAACATAGCCTTTAGAGGTCATCCCAGATCAAACACAGAAAATCTGTGTAATTCAGTTTTAGTATAAATTCTGCTGTTCAGTAAAGGTCTCGGAACAGCTGATGGGTCATTGGAGATGTGCATCATTATGAAGATCAAGATGTTTAAATCAAGGTTATTCTATAAAACAGTATACTAAGCCTTGGACATCATGGGCATAAGTAAACAGAGAGCATGGTCTTCCTCAAGAAAGTCATCAGCTAAGTTCCGTGTAACAGACATCTGACAATTCTCTGCCCCTCTAAACACGGTTTTGCAGGATGGAAAATGATGTTAAAAACTTCATGAAATGGTGATGATTTCATTGGTGGGAGCTGTAAGTTGGTCCAAGCAGACTGGAAGATGTATGGAGCTACAAACACAGTTATACTGGAAGAAAGGCTGCAGAAGTCTGACACCCACCTTGTAGCAGGAACATAAACCTAACACCAGATATTCAAGAAGGCTAATTGCCCGGTCAAAATCTAGAGCAAAATCCAATTAAGAATCTGAAGACTAGAGACCCAAAAAATTATAATTAGGTTGCAACATATTGTCCTTACACTTCCACACAATTCTGCACTAATTTATGTTGGGGCATCAATGAGAAACAGTTCAAGGGAGTGAATATTTTTATAAAGGAATGCTGCACTGTATTCATGTAGCAGGGTATATTTAAAATAATGTTCAAACTACAGTTACATGTTGCCAAAGCAACAAGGTAGTTCTATGAAATATTCTTTTTCTTTTTTTTTTTTTGCTACTAAAAGCAGCTAACCCTACCCCTATAATGACAAAAAAGGCGGGGTGTTAAATGCTAGGTATGCATATGATAGGATACCTGGTATACACAGGTTTAGAGGCAGTTTTAGCATAAACATCCATTAGCATCAAAGCTGAGCTCAGTGTTGCAGAAGCATCCTCTTCTTCATTTTTCCTCCTTTCATCTTCTTCTTCCTTTTGTTCTACTTGTTCTCCAGGTCGAGGCTCAGGTGGATTCGGCGGAGAGAAAGGAACAGGTGAAGATGGTGAGGTGGGGGACACTGGTGAGACTGGTGACGGAGGAGATGTGGGTGATGTTGGTGAGGGAGGTGTGCGAGGAGGAGATGGAGGAGGAGGGAAGGCCTCCTCCATATCATTCTCTGTGTTTATCTCGCTCTCTGGGAGGGGTACATTTATGGGAGGATCTGGAATTTTCTCTGTACTGTTGGTAAAAACTTCATCCTTGGTGGGAGGCACCAACTGCTCATGTATGCTGACATCACTGGGAGACTTAAGGAGCTGGCTGTAGTCCTCTCCAAGTCGGATGTCCAGAGATCTTGATCGAATTCCACGAATAGGGGCGGGACTCTACAGGATTAGTCAAAACAAAAAGGACAGTTGCTATGATGTCTGTACTGCAACCACTATAGGAGTGACCTTTATATTTTTTTAGTTTACCAGTCTATTGTCATCCACTTCATAAAGTATTCCAGGAGGGGGCCGACAGATCAATAGATGAACTTCAGATGGGGCTCCTCGTAGCAGGAACAAAACTCTCTAAAAACAGCAGAAGGCAAAGAACTAATCAAGTTTAAGGGTGAACTAAATCAGATATATAAAGCAAATTCATCCATCTGGATATCAGAAATCTGATGTCCGTTTTATAATAGAAACAACATGAGCGCTTCCAACAGAATAAGACTAAACATAAAACTGTAATGGAATGGTGTTGATAAAAAAAACTACGATAATGAAACAGTCCAGTCAAAGTCCAAACCACACCTCTCCATTTAGTCCAACAAAGACTTATCTTGTTTGTGAAGTACAATAAGCAAAACTTTCTGTCTCTATATCTCAAAAAGACTTGCAGCCGTTACTGCAGTAAGTGCCTCTAAAAGTATTAAATCAAGGGTGCCGTTGTAAGTGGATCATTTTTCCTTTTCTTCAAAATTAGAATCTTACTTGGGTTGTTTTTTTTACCTGAAAAATCCTGATACTTTTTGTATTACATTTGTAGTAGTAAATGTAAATATGTAAATCTAAAGTAAACTCCTCTGTGATGCTACGCGTCCACTGCTGTGATGTATTGTCTATTTTTAATGTTATAGAAAAGGACAAACCATGAATATCTCAGCTACAAAGGTAACATGGAAGCTCAACCTGGTAGGAGAGATCTTTAACAGGTTCCCTGTTGACAGACAGAATTAGGTCCCCTTCTCGCAGCAGGCCGCTCTCTTGTGCTGGCTGACCAGGAAAAAGGCGTTTGATGCGAACCACGCTGCCACGGTCCGCTCCTGATCGTAGCTGCGAGATATAAAAGCTGAAGCCGAGACCAGATAAGCTCTTTTTCAGAACCACTTCATGAGTATTTTCTGTAAGAGAGAGAAGACATAAAAGGGGAGGGAAAATGTGTTTAGTGATTTTCTATTTGTTCATTTTTAAGTGTGTATTTTGCATATTTTCTTCCAACAATCAATCAATGCAACAGAGAAAACTGAGGTTTTAAAGGGATAAGGAGATGTTATTTCATCCAGGCTTAGAAAGGAAAGGTTTTTTGTGCATGTAGTCTGCAGGGACTGAGGCGGCATCATTCTGGATCACTCTGACAACAAGCACACTGTAGCTGTCAGATGACTTTGTCACCCCTGGGCCCTATGTATGTGTATGACATATTTTTTATGTGAGAAAGTGTATTTGTCCTTTCCTCTTTACTCTCACCATCTGTCACAAAGCTGTAGTCCTTGGCTCGACCACTCAAGGTTGTTTCCATGGAGACCTCTGTCCTGGAGGTCGGCTGACTGTATGATGGACTGTGAATCAAGGGAAGGCAGGAGGAGTCAGCTCTGTGCTCTAAGACAACTGTAGGCTCCCTTTCCAGTAACAGGTTCACCACCTTCAAGGAACAGGTGAAGAATGAAATTAAAAACTGTTGCTGTAAATCTAAATCTGACAATGGTATGAATGGTTTAGGGCTCAACAGTAAAAACACTGACATAAAGATGGTCTTTTTTCTTTTTTTGTTCTATTAACAGAGTGATAAAATTATTTCTAGAAAATTTTTTTCTCGTAATCAGCAATATTCCTAAAGACTCAGATAAGAGTGGCCACAAATTAAAGAGCCTGTGAGAGTAAATGGCTCAACAAATAAAAAATGTTTGATTTAATAATTCATTTTCTATTGTTGTAACCAGTGTTGTTTTAGTCAAAGATGACGATGACAAAATCATTTCATTGATGCTCCTTTTTTCATGACGATAACATAAACTGATGAGCTAAACATGGATCTTTGATGGTGAAAACATGACGAGTCATGGGTGTGAGTTTTCGTCGATGAGACTAAATCAGATGTTTAAAATGCATGATTGTGCTGTAATCTGCTTAGCAGTATCAGCCCTGTTTCTGCGTCCTGTTTGGTCATGCCGCCCACCTGCCAGGCAGTGGTGCACATTCTGCATGACCACAGTTGACCATGGCAGCAGCAGAGGTGGGTAAAATTAACTGGAATGGTCTGGCACTGGGTGCTCAACTCTGACCAACTCTGTTCTTCCACCTCTGATTGTGCAGAAATGTGTCTTTGCGCATGTTTAGCTCAGAGGCTGCGCTTTACGCTCCACACTGATGGTTCGCTCTCCTGCCCTCGCTACTTCATAAACTATATGTGGCTGATCATCCTCTGCCAAACGTAAAAACTCTGTTTGTCTACCTGTCAAGTTTTTATTTTCTCCAGGTCACAAGAGGTAATAACCTTCTTTAATTTCTATCAAAAGGAATCCCTAAATTATGTCCAAAGCATATATTTAATTGCATACGGTTTATTTTTGGATAAAGACCCAGGTGCTTTTTTGGAGTAATGACGATCTATTGATCTGTGTAATGCATAACTGATAGTAGATGGACAGTTGAATAGAAACCTTGTATGTTTAAAGCCATTCCTTTATTTTTGTTAGCTTTTCTGTCTGCTATTTTAACCAATATTATGTCTTGTACTAGATCTGCTATTTTCACAACTTATGTGAGACACTTTTGTAAAAAAGTAAGGCATTCATTCATAAAAAAGTTTATTCTAATTGTATAAATCTTCTTCCCAACAGCAATGACGAACTGCACGGCAGCATTGCATCTCCAGCAATTATAGTATCTAGGCAAGAGCTTTCAGTCTGGTAAAGAATCTGGTTGTTTTTCGAAATTGTAAAGGTTTAGTGTTTTATAAATTGAAACATAAAACTGACTAAAACTAGACTAAAACCTTTTTGAGTTTTAGTTGACTTAAACCAAATAAAACTATCACATATAGTAATAACTTAAATGTGACTAAAAATAATAAGAGTTCTGAAGACGAAAACTAAGACTAAATCTAAGATGGCTGTCAAAAACAACACTGGTTGTAACTTGAACCGCAAAAAGAAAAATGGCTTTGACAAGCTCAGAGCTTTACAAAACCCTAAGATTAAAAATCAGTCAAAAAATTCTAATTGTGGCATCACTAAAATAATAAATGAACAGAAATGTTTGCCTTGAAGCCTTTTTTCCAGGTAAAAAACACTTAACTAGGAATTTAGTTGTTTTTAAATTATTTCTGTGTGCTTGTGTCTATATCTCAGTTTGCTAATACCTCCCCACTCCTCTTCAGGCACTCGACCGCCTGTTTGTGCGTCACACCCCTCAGGTTGGATCCATCAACCTCCAGCAGTCTGTCACCTGTTGTGCACAAAGCCAATCTCATCACAATTAGCAGCATCACGTGTGTGAGTCAAAACCTAAACAGGCTTGTCAAGGACTTAAAAAGTTGTTCCTCTCCTCTGAATCGTAAGCAGAAGCAGACACTGTGCTATATATTTTAATAACAAAGGAAAACTTCAAAGACAGTGTTGGATGTTGTTCAAAATCTGATCATTTTTGCTGATTATATCAGGTGTGCAACATTTCTCCTGCCTTTAAATACTGGAATAAAGAAATACATTATAACACTACAAAAAAATAAAATAAAAAATCAGTAGAAATCTTGTATGTTGAAGAAAATGAATCATAATTTGTAACTCAGGGATTGCAAATGGAAGTTTGATTCAGCAGAGCTCCAGCATATATTCAGTTTGATATAAACAACCCCATAATTCAATACCTTTAAGCTTGTTTAATTCTAATTTTTCATTCCACTATTTAGGATAAAAGATGAATGTAATACCAATTTGTATGCGGCCATCTTTCTCAGCAGCTCCTCCAGGGACCAAATTCTTGATATAAATGCCTCCAAATTGTGTGTTGGTGTTAATTCCTCCCTTTTAAGAAACAAGAGACAACAAAATGTGATTATTTAATGACTTTAGACTAAAACAAGCCTAATCATCCACCTCATTATATAGAAATCCAGACTTCTGCGTTGTGTCTACAGTAGTGCCTGAGTAGGGGACTTTTCCTCCTTTAAAATGTAGATTTTTTAACTGTCTCTCTTTAAAATAGCTTGAGAAAAAACCCCAGAACACTACAGTATATGGTCTACTAATTCCAAAGAGAGAAATTTCATTAATAGTCTTGAGTAAAAGAAGAAGAAAAATGGTGACTTACAGTGACACTTATTCCAAGACTGCCTCCACTTTTCTTTAGGTCCACAGAAAACTGCTCTGCTGTTTTAAGGCTTAGGATGGACGGGGATCTTGGAGACCCATCCTAAAAGAGAACCATGAAGGAAAAACACTTCTTACCCAACAAGGTAACAGTTTAAGTCTACAAGGTAAACTTTAGGAAAAAGAAAGGCCCGCATATTTGAAATAGGAAAAAACTACTGATTTAAATACTCTATACAAGTATATTACCCAGATCACAGTTAAAGATCAGTCGGGAGAACCTTGTAATGTATTTTATGAATACACTGAAAAATGGGGGCATGAAGGGTAGTGTTTATAAACCAGCATAACATACAAACTGAAGTAATTTTACTTCAACAAACAGATTTATACATGGTCTTTTTAACATCAAGTAGAATGTATTCAAGTTTGTCTGACAGCTTTATCTGTCCTTTTGTAGTGTCTCATCAAAGATACCCTCTAAGATGTTATTTACTGCACTGGGATTTTTTGTAATAGACCATCACAATGTAGTGATAATTGTAAAGTGAAATTATGAAAGACCTTTTAAGGCTTGCCAACAGAGTTCTTCTCTATTTGTTTTTTAATCTATGTCTTTCTTCTTGCGACTCAATAAAAATCAGTGTTGGGAGTCGAAAAATGACAGATTTCCCCTCAACATATCAATCACTTAAGCCATAGATCTGTGCAGCCTTTCCAAAATGTACACAGACTTCTATCAGAGCTAGTCCTGTCCACCCTCTCTGTTTAGCTGTCTTGGTGTCGTGGTATGCTTGGATCTGTGCCATAATCTTTCCCTTTAAAAAAAATGGATTTAACAGTGCTCAGTGACATATCAAACACATAGGCTGTTGTTAAATAACCTAGGGCATGCTTTACACTTTTCTGTAACAGATTGAATGTACAACAAGTGTTGTGGGTGATCTAAAAAGATTATGTGTGCAAAGGATAAACAAATAGGTTTGGTCCGCCCCATTTAAATTAGAAAATTGGATGTAACAACAAGAACAGAGAGTCTTTATTTAAGGCTTCTCCAAATCCGGTGCAAGACAGATTGCTACAGAACATCCTTCCTGCCTACAGCTATTAACACACACAGATAGTTAATGAAAGCCTATGATCTAGGATAACATTTCATTTCCGTTTAGGATCAATAAAGTGTTGCTGTAATTGAATTGAACTGAAATAGTCTCTAACCTTTTCTTAATGTATCACAAACCAAGGTAGGCTCATCATCAGCAGTGGAAAAAGTACTCAACAGTAGTACTTGAGTGAAAGTATATACTCATAGTCAAATCTTACTCAACTACAAGTAAAAGTTACCTGATCAAACATCTACTCAAGTTAAAGTATTGAAGTACTCACTTTTGGAAATACTTAAGAATTGAAAAGTACATTCCTTTAAAAGTATTTAAGTATTCAAAAATATAAATCAAATTTTGTAATCTCAGTGCCTTTCTCGCCAATTTTCAGAGTAATTTCAAAGAACCTTGTAACTTTCAGAAACCACCTTATGTACTGACCCCTAGAACCACTCTGCAATAATTTCTAAACCACCTGTGAAGAACTTCAGCATATAAATGCCACAAAAACATAAGTAAAGCTATTTTTATTTTTATTTTACGCTCTCACAAAGGCTTTGATTAAGCAGGACCGGGAGCTGAGCTGTATGCTGGGTGCGTTTAATCGCAGGCTGGCTGCGGTGGTTGAACTCAGGGGGGAGATGGAATAATATCTTGGATGTGCACACTCGCTTTGAGGTGGAAAAGCTCAACAAATCTGTAATACCAGATTCGCCATGTAGAGCCAGCAAGAAAAGAGTCAAGGCTGACAGAAAATTCCTGCACACCCCCAACCCGAATGTATGTGATGTACGTGATGAACGGTTTGTACTGAAACTGAGATCTAGATTACAATGTAAATTGTAGTTGTAAATAAAGAAACTGATTCATTTAGGTTTAGGTTGAATCTGTTAAAAATAAGAAACTACAACTCTGATTTGAGAACTCCTCCTACTGAACAACTTGACCACATGGCAACAACTAACACCTCAATAACTTTTATCAACTACAAATAATATCTGCCCTGAATTTCTCATATTTGTGGAACGTCATGCAAATCTCTAAAACAGTGGTGTCCTTATTCAGTCCTAAGGGCTGCTGTCTTGCATGTTGAAATTGCATTTTAAGAAAGAAAAACAGCAACAGCGGATTACAAACCTAAGCTGAGCTAAAAGTAACAAGTAACAGCTTCCTTAAAATTTAGTGGATCAGAAAGTGCAATATTTGACTTTGAAATGTGGTGGAGTGAAAGTTATAGGCACCTACCGAAATATTACTTCAGTTAAGTAAATCTACAAAAAAAAGTACAGTAATCAAGTAAATGTACTTTGTGACTTTCCAGCACTGCTCATCATAATTGAATACAAACAATTGTGCTTTGTGGGGAGGTCGTAAAAAACATTGAGGGAGACAAAAAATCCCTCCAGCAACAAGTTAGAAATGAGCACTACAGGCTGGCACACTTATGGAGTGATGTTTGTTCTCTGCTGACTGTTAATGTGCAGTTTTTGTTTTCTTTTTATAAACATGTCTTTTAAACATGACATTCTAAAGGTTTATTCATAACATGTTACTGTTTAACCAAAGTGTCTGTAATGTGTTTTGACTGACGACTTTCACAGCTTTTCCAATGTAAGGGACACAAATTCTGACTAGGTCAGAACAGGAGGGATCTACTGTTTCAGTTGGGGGGGACAGATATGGCACCCCAGCTCTCAAAGTTTCCAGCTGTGGGTGTGGCCACCGGGAGGCTGGGGGGTGTTTCAGACTCTGTCAGGCACACCATATTGAGTGCTATGGTTCCCTCCAACTTGGGAGCAATACAAAAATAGATGGTGTATATTTTCTCAGTGGTGCTCGGCCCACAATCAGGACCCAGTTTCCTGCACAGTGCCTACTGTTCTGGAGTTACTCTATTCTCTCCTTAATAAGGGTCATTCTCATTTGACCCTTTAGGTGTATTTGGCAGCCATCTCATACCATCATGCAACTTCTGATGACTGCTGATGAATCGTCCAGTGGGGGGCCATAGTCTGGTCTTTCTTTTTCTGCGAGGTGCTCTTAGGTTGTGCCGGCTGCTTGCTCCTCGAGCTCCTGAATGGGATCTGCCTTTGGTTCTGGATGATTTGTGCTGTTCCCCTTTCTAGCCCTTGTTGCAAGCATAGCTCCAGTGGCTCTCATATAGGACAGCTTTTTGTTAGCTTTTTTTTCAGCTAGGAAGGTGAGCTACATGCCTTTTCTGTCAGTCCCTCATGTCTAATGGGATCGAGGTGGTTCTGGTGTTACCTTGGGCCTCAACACTGCATTTGTGCACAAGATATTGCCCCATTCAGATTGTAACTAATCTCTACAGGTGCTGAATGCATATATCACTGCCAATACAACCGTAAAGGCGCTCAGACTAGCTTTCTGTGTGCTATGGAGGTTCCAAGCTGGGCTGTCCTCTTACTAAACAGTGTCTCGCCCACTTGATTATGAATGTCATCAACAGTTCAGAGCGCCGCCATTCTACCAGGAGCGTATCTGCTTCCTGGGCTGTTATGAAGGGGGTTTTAACTGGAGGCCATATGTACTACAGCATCATGGGCTTCTCCAAGCACATTCACAGGTTCTACAATTTCGTGTGGCTGCCTCTCATCCTTTGGGCTAGGTTCTTTTAAGAGGTTCAGCTGGGCCCACTCAGTGAAGTATGTGCTCAGGATTCCTCGTCACATGGTTGGTATTAGTCGTTGAATGTTTTCAGCAATGCCATCTAACGGTCAGTAGGGATAAAATAGAATGAAAGTTACGTATGTAACTATGGTTCTATGAATCCTGGATGAGCAGAAGCGATTCACTGTCACTCAGAATCCTTGCTTCCGCAGGAAGATTTTGAAGGAACAGAGCCCTTAATGATGCCAGCATATATAGCTTCTGTGTGTTCATCCGTGGTGCCACAGCTGCGACTCTGTTGGTATAATTCCTTGAACTGCGCACGCGTGAAGGAACATTCAGTGTTTTCAGCACTGCCCTCTGGCAGTCATATGGGATTCATAGAACCGTAGTTACATTCATAACTTTCGTTTTCCCTCCCATGACGGTTCCTCCAGTTCATTGTCTTCCATCTTCTTTTGTCTGAGACATTAACAGAGAGCTTCATTCCTTGGGGCCATGCTCCTGATGTATTCTTGGAGCTTGGATGTTTTATGTTTAATGGTAGCTTAAAATGTTCACAAGGCCTCTACCTCCTTCTTTTTGCTAGTGTATAGTCTGTGTTTACTGTATTTGGGGTGGAATCCACCATGCACAGCAAGTGGCTTCTGTGTTTTTATATCAATAGCCTGAATTTCCTCCTTAGGCCAACTTATTATCCTAGCAGGGTATCCGATTACTGGCAAGGCATACTTGCTGATTGTCTGGAAATTTGTTCATACCAGCGAGCTAACTTCTCAGAACTTACCTCGCTTGTTGCAGGTATTCAGCTGTTGCTGTTTTCCTTGTAGCCTCCTCTTGGTTGCCATTTGTCTGTGGTAATCCAAGGTACTTGTAGCTCTCTTATACATCTACTATTCCCTCTGTCTGGATTACCTTCCTTCTCCTTGTCACCATCTGGCCAGATTTCTCCAGACCAAACAACATTCTGATGTTCCATGTTTAAAGTCTTGCTCACTTTTAGCATACAGCTTGATGTCATCCAACTGCAGAAGGCTGCTGATAGTGGCCACATCTCTGCCATAGCCAATCTTGTGGGTTACTTGGCTGAGGAGGCTAAATTCCACATCTGATGGAGATTTCTACAGGTGGCTTGAAGTCTTACATGTGGTTTTCCACAGCTCCATGGAGTTTGCAATGAAGGCTCTAAGAGTGCTGTTAAACTTGCACAGCCTCTGGCATTCCAGGTTCCATGTGTGTGACACTGAGTCATAGGCTGTCTTGTTATCAACCCAGGCAGTGCAAAGGTAGGTTGCCTGGTCTCTTAAATTCTATTTGCCTTGCATGCTGCTTCTTGGCCAGGTTGTCATTGAAAATGAGAAACCGACCTTCCTAGTAAATAAAGGTTAGATTTTTCTAATAAAAAAAAAATGTCTATTGCTGCTGTATCACAGGGATATTATCTATTTTACAAAGCAGGGTGACAACAATGAATCATTGACTTTGATGTAATACCTCCTCCTGAAGAATTTTCACTCAGGTATTCTTTTGGATACCAGTCAAAGACAAGGATGTTTATCCGGTTGTTTAGAGCACCTAATCAGTTTAACATTTGATCTGTCCGACCTCTTAAACATCTTTCATGGAAACAGTCCATTATCTTTGTAGACAAATGGTTCCTACCTGAGCATCATGTATTCGAACAACGGGAATGTGGAGCTTTTTGTTATGCTTTGGAGTGGCCAAGCTGGACAAGATGATGGCCTCCTCAAGCTCCTCCACAGGTGGGCGATACTCTGTGCCACTCAAGGTGGTCTGTGACCCAAAGCTTCTTTCTAATGACAAACCAAGAGTACTTTGGCTCAAGGAGCCCTGCATATCCTTCAGTGAGTCTGCAAGGAGAGCAGCCAAGAGAGATTACACACCGATTAAGACACCATTTGATAGAGACCGCAACAGAGTAACTCTTACGTTTAGGCTGTGAAACAATGAGCTCTACTTCATCAGGACTGCTCTGAAGGATGGCAGCAGCATCACTGAATGTGACTCCTTCTAAACTGGTCTTGTTAAGGGATATTAGGCGTCCACCTAGGAAAGAAATATTTATTTAAAAAAAAAACATGGTGAGAAGATGTGATGGTTATAACATTGCATCTTTAATTTCATTTGAAGTTATGACAAAAAGTGCTTTCAAAAACAGATTTCTTCTGTTTTTGCTATTTTGTCAAACTTTTCAAACTCATTAAAAACCACCAGTTTAGCCCTAGTTTTAAAGAGTTAATTTTTAAACAAAAACTGAGGGGGGGGGGGGGGGGTACACCCAGGGCCGATTAAAATTAGTTCTGTAGAATTTATAAATCGTTTAAACACGATCACACTGGTTGCATATGACTTTTTAATCTCCAATCTGATTTTCTTCTGTCAAACTTTTTTTCTCTGTCTCTGTGCCACACAAATTGAAACAATTTTCCACATTTGAATGGGACAGATTATAAACAGTTATAAAAAAAATAAAATAAATAACCGATGCGGTTAGAAAAGCAAAGCCCCACTGCATGAGTCTGTGCAGCATATCTTAAACCATTCTAAACCAGAATTTCTATAGGCCTATATTAAAAACATGATGGGAATTACATTTAAAGAAAATTAAAATGCAGCAATTAAGGCTGTGGGAAAGTTTATATACAATCAGAGGTGATTCTCAGAGAGAGATCTGGGAAGTTTGTTAAACTTTTTCTTTTTTTCATAATGAGAGGAGAGAGATACACTTCACTTACCTGCAGTGTCTTCCCATTGTTTTTTTTTTTGTGTGTGGCTCAAAGAGGATCACTACTTTACTATATCCATTTCTGTCCTCCTAAAGTTTGTAAAAGTTTTTTTTTTTTTTCGGGGAAAGTGATAAGCTGCAATCTCCTTCATCGTCTCTTCTTATTATTATTATTTTTTATGCTCAAAGAGGAACAATACTTTATACGTTCCCTGTCTTCCTGAACTTCTGGTGAGTCTGTTTAAAAAAAAAAGTTTTATTGATTGATTATGCACAGGTCAGCCCCACCTTCAATATAGGTCTATGTGCTGTGCAACTCAGAAACTGAGTGTTTTCACTGTGATTGACAGATTTTACTTTGCATTTTGCCCTGAAGAGTTTGTGTTTGTAACTTTGTGTCTCTCTTCCTGCCAGACCCCTGAAATTACTGCTGAATTACTGCTTAGTCTGACTAAAATAGTCCTGAAATCTATCTGGTTGGAGAGACGCAAGCCGTCTTTCTGAAAATCTTGTCGGGTGTGATCATCCCCATTGAACCTCAATAAGCCCTAAACACAACGACCTCCTGCAACACAATTTTCTGTCAGATCGGATGCAAAATCGGATTCGGTGGGTTCAGGGCTTTACAGAGAACCTATCTGAAAAAAATTAGTAGGCTTAAGGACTTAAAACACAATGCCCCGCTTTATAAAAATCCAAGAGAATGCATCAGCCCCTCATAATGAGGTCGCAAAAGAAGGAAAAAAACATTTAATGCATCGTCAGCTTCTTGTCTCAGTTAAATGTTCATATTTTTAGAAAAAGAGATAGAAGGGACAAAAATGTCATTCATAAGAGAAATCAAAACAAATACTGTAACATCTTTACCAAAATACACCCCGAGGACTATCACATGTTTACCACAAAACATCCCAAAATATAAGGGAAAGTGGTAATTATATTTCTAAGCACATCATCAACTTATCAAAAAAGGTCTTGGAGCAGTCTAAGCAAAGTCTGGACCATAATCCATTTAAAATGCTCTAAGATTAAACGGATTAAACTGCCATTAATGCTGGAAAAACCTCTGAATTTGCTAAACTAAAACAACTCTGCAAAGAACAATGGGTCAAACCTCCTCCAATGTGATGAAAAAAAAAACTGAAGGCCAGTTAACTTAGAACCAGCCATGTTTAGGGAGTGTCTACATTTTCCACATAGAGGCAGGTCGATTTTGATAGCTTCTTTCTCTTAATTAAGACAATCACAATTCGAAAACTACTGTTTATACTGATGATTTACTCATGAGTTCTTTGTTTAATATCAAAATTAGCTTGACAATATTAAGTATTAAAGTGTGACAAAAACTGAAAAAAGAAGAAATATTGCTGGATGGAGCGAAAACCATTTCAGGACACTTTTTTTATATTAAAAGTAAAGCAGATGTTTTAAAATCGTAGTCCTTACCAGGTTTGATTCGTCCATCTTTGTCTGCAGGGCCATCAGGGACAATTGAAGCAATGAAAATACCAAGGTCAAGCTTTCCTGTGTTGTCCTCTCCTACAATCACAAAGCCTGAAACACATGTACCGAGGATAAGTAGGGAAATATCACCTGCACAGCTAAACTCTAATGTGACAGATCACAGGAATCCCTTTTATTTTAAACCATCAATTTGTGTTTAGAAAAAGAAAAACTCACCAAATCCCAGTTTGGGATCTTTTTTCAGTGTCACACAAACTATCTCTCTCTCAGGCGGGGTCCGTGTTGGTGTATCAACTAGTAGAAAAAGAAAAAAACATGTTTACATGTGTTTATACTCACATTTCCCGTAAACTGGATTCACACATTTTAATACCAGTCAAATAAAAACACCAAAAAAAGCCTTTAAGGAGATGACAAGCTGAGTCCATTTGAAAGAAAGATTTATTATGATCACCTCTTAGAGAAGATGAAGCATTAGAGTCCTGCTTCTGCAGTGAGACACTTGACGTCCTTCTGGGATTAGTCCGTGGAGCGCTACAACACAGCCATGCATTTATATCCAAACAACAAGCCTTTTTCCAAACAAGCTATTGCTGTTACCATCTTCATCATCATCAGTTATTACCTCCAATACTGCCGCTCTTTTACATCCCTGAGGTCTCCTGTTGCGGGCAGTTCCTTATTCAGCTCTCTGCTCATCTCCCTCCTCATTTGTCTTTGCTGGCGAAGTCGAGCTTCCAGCTTGGCAGTAAGATCATCACAGGACTTGGAGAGCAAGTCGGCCTGGCCAGAAGTCAAACCCACATGGTTCAACATGCCTTCTGAACAAGATATCCGCTTCAGACTCATGCTACGAGCTCGATAGGCAGAAATATTTTCATCTAGAGAACAAGAGAAGAAATGTTTTCATTTTTATTATTGTTATGACATATCCAGCTATACTGTAATAAATTCCTGAAGCCATCCCACCAGGTATCAGTGTGTGGTTCAGCTGTCGAGATGTCATCTCACTGTGAAATTTGTGCTGTGCTGAGCAGAGGTTCAAGAGGTACTGTGCAATCTTAGAGGTTTCTGTCACAAAAATGTGCTTTTTTCCACTGGGTCCACCACACTCTATAATCAGCTTATGGCGCTAAAAGACAAACATAGGTCAGTGTTTAATTAAGAACTTTAAATGTGAGTTTTTTTTTTTTCCTCCCATAATGCTGAGATGTAGATAAAAATGTTGCAAAATGGTGAAGTATTTTTTTTAGTTCTTTGCTAAATTTCTCATACCTTCCAAACATTATCAACAGTATAATGCATGATGAAAAGTAGAAATCAAATTATGAAATTCAGTTCTGAAACTAACAAGCTGCATTCCAACATCTAGATAAAACAACTTGAAACAAGATCTGACTGAAATTGCCCTGATTATTTTTTACCCCAGTGGATATGGAGTCTGTTTCCCTCCACAAGAAGCGCCTGGTGACAGTTCGCAGGTGGTTCTTCGTCTCATAAACGATGATTCCTTTGGCGCACACTCCCAGAACTAACTCTCCTATCAACGGCCTTTTCTCCCTTCCCACGCGATGGAACATAACTCCATACTCTGGCAACTGTTGGACAATCTAATGGCAACAAAAAAATAAAAACAAGCTTACAGTATTTCTCTTACATTAGCATGTTACAAGTTAATGTGGTTTAAAATCTCACTTTACCTTCAGATACTCTGTTTCTGCCTCCTCAGGCAACAAATGAGCATGACTGGCATGTAGTCTCGGTAACTCCTCTCTAATAATGGGGACAGCAAGCTTCTCCAGCATCCTTTTGGATACGTAAAGTTCTGGCTGATAATAGTCTTTACCATACAGCTGCGCAGATACACACACAAATAAAACACCCTATTGGTTACTTGACAATCGAGATATTCAAAGCTAAAATAATCAAATTTTTCTGTATTTTCTCTGTACCTCTGGCATGTAATCACCAAACTCAGCCTGCAGAGCGAGAGCAGCCAGGAACAAGCCTGTCTCCTCATTGCAGTAAAGCCTGTCCTCCAAGATATCTTTACGCAATTGCAAGTAATACTGGTGACGAGTCAGTCTGTGTCTAGAAAGTAAAGAAAAATGTATTTTCACTCTTTAATAATTTAAAGCAAACATAGTTGATAAAAAGAAATATATTCAATAATTTGATTATTAAAATGATATCATCAGAGCATGTCTGTAACATGAATGACTTGAGTGTCAACTTTCCAACAAAATTACATTAAATAAAGCTAATAAGTTCAAAATGTATATATTTGAATTTCGTGTGTTGGGAAGGTTCCTACTTGGATCATTTGCATTGTGAGAGGTATTACTGGTTTTCTGCTATGAAAAACTGTAGATGATAACTGAGTACAGGGGCCACCATACTGTTGGTTCAGTTTTAGCAAATACAAATACCAATATTGGTCTAAAAGGATAAAAAAATAAAATAAAAAATTCTGGGAAACAATGCATCCATCCTTATGTTCACCCTATGTTTTGCCTCATTCTGCTTTGACTTTTCATAGTTGTCCTTCTTCTGTAACAGATTGATTACCTTTTCTAGCTCATTTGCAGTCACATATATATATTTTTTGCAGATATAATGCATCATGGAAAAAAATTGCAACCCGAAAGCAAAACCAGAAATGAAAGAGCTAGAATTGATTATAGACGACAAAAAAAGAAGTCAATTTAAGAAATGTTTACTTACAGAATAAAGGCAATATCATTAACGAAATATTTGACTCGAAGAAACACCAAAAAGGAAGATATCTGTCCCTTTTTCCAGCTGTCAGGTGCAACTTTGGAGATTTTTGTCTCGTGGTCCAAAAAGAAATATTCATCATCTGCAAAATACAAAGAAATAAACCGATTAACGCCAATCTTTGTCCCTCTGTATTATCACCCATTAGGCTAATTGTCAAGACATTATTTGTTACTTAGCATAACACAATGACATTTGATATAACATTTTTAATTTGGTTACTTTAATACAGAGAGATTAGGTCCCATTCAACATGTCCTCTTACCATCTAGGAAGGAAAGACCAAAGTAAAAGTGCTCCACCAAGTTTGCGTGAGCCACCACCATGTCAAACACATCTCTTGCCCTGGATTTAATGTCACAGCGGACAACCACGTACTGTCCATTAGGCAGCACTACAGTCACTTCTCGCTGAGAGGAACTTGAATGGCCCTTTTTGGACTGTGGTGTGCAGACACAGAGAAATGCATGCACATAGAAAAACACAACAACAACAGACACACTGAGAAGGTTGTACCAAACATGCATTTATGCATGTAGACAGCTCAACGTGCAAGAACAACTTAAAGACTGTGGCAGAACAGACATATACACCAAATAGGGGCAGATAGAGAAACAGGAAAGTAACTTGAAACCAGTAATTTACCACAATAGATCCTGGGAGCTCAAGAAGAATTTGCTGCTCGTCTGGCATTCTTACAAACTCTGGACCCAGTGCCTAAAATGTATAATATGGAATAAAAAAACCTTACAGAACACCATACCAAACCTGTCTAATAATTTCTTTTTAAATGTCTTACTACCAGTATTTACAAGTTACTTTTTTAAAACAACATATTTTGCACATTTGGCTTGTACAAAACATTTAGTTTACTTATCACAATAAAAAGCTCCAGTTTTGACCTTAGCTTTTCTCTGGCTTAGGCTGAGAGAGGACTCGCTGAAGGTGATGGAAGGACTGTGAGATCTGCCTGATGCCTTCGGAGAGAAATCGTGCTGGGGGCTCCTACCAATCCAGCTGCAGTTACTGTCCCTGCGGCACACCCTCCGAGGGAGCCTGATGGGTCAGAGGCAGGGAAGGAAGGACAGAATGAGTAATAGTTGTGTGGACAACCTGGAAAGTCAAACAATGGCAAAGTCAGTACAGACATTGAAAAGGATAGAATGTGGAGTAGAATGATTTGTATATATATCCACATTTAGAAGTTACTCTTAGTCACCACTGGCATGAATACTATATGATTTTAGGCTTTTAAATCTGCATTTCAACTGTTCTTTGGCTTTAGTGGACAGCTAGAGCATGCTACCTCTAGTTAAAAAAAAGCATATGTAATAAGCTTCTGGTATAATTCTGGTCAAAAATTAAATAGAGGCAGGACTGTTAGACCTCCCTTAAATTCATTGGTTTCCTTCGACCATTGTCCGCTTCGACCATTACTTATTATGTTTAACATTAGTGCTTTGCTAATTTTAACAATCTCAATACCAGCTCATTCAGTCCTTCCAAACCCTTTCTGCTTGGGATTATTATGTGGTTGAAAAACTCAATTGTGTCAAGTTTTAACTAAATGAATTAAATGGAGGAGTCTAGAAGCAGTGTTGTGCCTGAACGAAACGAAACGAAAGTTCATGAACTCATTCATATTTTGGGCGAACGTGAACTGAACGTACTGTATTACTGCCTGATGAACGTTAGTGTGAACTCGTTCATTCTGGTGTCTTTGAACGGCACGCTCTCTCAGTTCAACTCTGTTCAATAGGTTGCCAGATTTCTATAGAGCCCTCTAGGCGAAACCCCGGCTAAATCACACCGTAAACAGGCCTTAATATGTAGCGGGAAAAACACCCAATCTGGCAACACCAGCTACCAGCGTCGTAGCCTACAGCCGCGTGCGTCATCAAAAAAAAAATGCAGCGTGGAAGCCACAGCAGCATGGAGGCGACCGTGGAGGCATCAAAGCAGCAGTATGATCACTTAAAACAGTTTTATGACCAGGTGGTCGG